ATTTAAGCTAGCTTCTGCGGGAACTCCTGATTAAGCCTTCATCACAATAGCTAGGAAAGAGTAGATGTGATAGGCAACAATAAACTACAAAACAACCCAAAATTCATCGCTGCATTTAAGTATTGTATTAACATTTAAGCGTACCTTTTAAGTTCAACGATAATTTTTCTGCCGCCAATGAATTTAAAGACAGTTTTATTACTTTTCGTGGAAACAATTATTTTTTATATTAGGTTATTCCAAAAAAAAAAATGGGAATGGAACGGAATTGGAATTTTTTTATTTAATTTATAATTAAATTTAAAATTTTAGTTTTTGTTTTGAAACGTGGTAATTCCTGTGTAGGGAGGGAACCATATTTTTAAAATAGAAAATAATTATAATATATATAAATAATTAGGAGCATGTGAAATAATCATAATTAAGTAATTCATCGAATCTAGAAGAAAACTCAACAGAATGCAGAAAGCACTGAACGGCCGTTTCGTCCTATATTTGGGACTTATCAGCAGAGCGCATCCACTACCGAGAATTGAAACCCGAACGGTAGGAGGCAAACGCCATACCAACTGTACCAACGGGCCCCAGAGGTGAGGCGCTAACGAATTATAGCGCTCAATATAGCGCTGCTCGATCACATATTCCGTAGTGGAACTAATCCGAGTATTATATATATATATATATATATATATATATATATATATATATATACTCGGATTAGAACACTTGCGCCATTTTGCGTTTTGATTGTAAATTAGACAAAAATTTATCTCTTCCGTATAAAAATCACGGTTACATATTTAAGATTCTGATATATTTAAATACTTTTTGTAACTGCATTAATGTTTTTGTAATCGTTTCACCCCAGACAAGGGGATAATGCCATTAAAATGCAAGGGGTTACTGGGAGTGAAAGATAATGAGAAGACTTTAGTGAAGAGAAAGGACAATAAAAGAACAAATTTCAAAAAAACAGAAGATAGCGATTGGCGTTGTACTTGAACTTTTGAAGAATGTAGATGACAGGGAAGCAAGAAATCTGAAGAGAGTTCCGCAGGTGAGAAGTGCGAGAAACGAAACTATCAGCATAGAACTTACGGTTACATATAGCTATTTCAACAGTAAAACAATGAGACTTAATTGCTAATCTAGTAGTACGCTCAAATTCATGCAGTCGGGGTACAAAGTGGGAGAGAACTCATTAGAACAAGTGCCATGAAAATGTTTATAGAAAAGACAGAGGGAAGCCACGTCAGCTAGGTGAGGAAGTTACTGAGGTCAAGATGCCACGTCAGGACACATCTGTGATCTGAAAATAAACCAAGATAATTAAGTATCTGTCTATATTTTTGAGATGAGGTATTATGTACACTTTTTATATTATTCGGACTATTGCCCTCATCTTTGCTGCCATATTTATCACAACGTTTCAGGCTTTCAGTATCTGTCTAAATTTCTGAGATGAGGTATTATGTACACTATTTACATTATTCGGACTATCGTTCTCATCTTTGTTGCCATATTTATCGCAACGTTTCGGCCGTTGTACACTCCGGCCTTCTTCAGTCAAACGTCAGACTATATGATGATTCCGTATAGGATACAGGTTCGATTCCTGTCGGAGGACGAATATTTTCTATGAAAATTTCTCGAACATTCAGGCTGGTAGATGTTATTAATACTGTTTATTATAAACAGAGCATTTACTTAAATATTTGTATCTATAAAAAGAATGTATAAGCATAAAAATGTCTTAAAATAATTGTCGGACTTTGTCCATTTCATAATGTGTGTCGTCATTTGTTTACATTTGGATACGCTTTGAGTAGATATGAATGTACGTGAGAGATTCATGGAAGATTGTAGTTTAAAAGCAGTAAATTCGACCTTGCTAATCGAACGGTCCTCCGTGGCTCAATCGGTTATGGCTATATGACTGTTCCGTATAGGATACAGGTTCGATTCTTGTCGGAGGACGAATACTTTCTATGGAAATTTCTCGGACATTCAGGCCGGTAAATGTTATTAATACTGTTTATCATAAACAGAGCATTTAATTAAATATCTGTATCTATAAAAAGAATGTAAAAATGTCTTTATGTATAATGAGAGAAGAGGAAGAAGAATAATCAGACGTAAAGTTAATTTCAAGATAATTTTTTTTTTAAATTTCAGATTCAGGAAGCTTCTTAAAAAATAAGATAATTATTTACTTATAAATTATGCACATTTCTCTCATTTGTGTCTGTATATATATATATATATATATATATATATATATATATATATATATATATATATATATATATATATAAAGAGAGAGAGAGAGAGAGAGAGAGACTACAAAAATTGATATCACAAACAGTTTGAAAAAATCCTGCGGATTTTAAGATTAAAATTCGTAGGTGAAAATGGTCATTTGCTAAAGGTATCTTAATTCCAATTGTAAAGAAAAGTTGCCCTGTTTATTTTCAATAAACAGGGAGCGCTCTTTTGTGAGTCAGTTTTAACATATTTCAAATTCTATGTTGTGTTAGGACTCGCCTGGACTTGACTATACCAACGGATTACTACCTATATATATATATATATATATATATATATATATATAAATAATGGTCGTATCAAGTGGTACTTCGGGGTTAGTAATATTCGAAAGGAAAACACTGGAATATAAGATTAGTGAAAAGAACTCTTTAATCCCGTGGATTAATATCACAATGCTAGTGAATATCGTAATTAGTGCGAAATATTTTGCGATTACTGCGCGACTCCCTGGTGTCTCAAAATTAGACTCCTTCCCTAGACAATCAAAGAATCCATGGTTAACACTTTACTGTAGTGAATGTCAGTTGTCTTTCTGCACGACATGTTATTTACCAATAAATTATTTATCAATTCTTTAACAAACCTATCAAAGTAGAAATATTTCCTGATTTCAAATGTTATTTCTTAAGTTCATAATACAAATTTGAATTTATTCCTCACCAGGAAGTAATAGTGTTATAAAGCTTATAAAGCTTGTATCAACTCAACACGTCGTTCAGGTTTTATGATATTCCAAAGATGGGTCATCTTTCTACACAATATCTATCTATCTATCTATCTATCTATCTATCTATCTATCTATCTATCTATCTCTCTCTCTCTCTCTCTATATATATATATATATATATATATATATATATATACTAGGTAAAAAAACCCTGGGTAAGTAATCAGAGTAGATCCTATTAATATAAAATATTAAAACTTATCCACAAAAGAGAGGTCAATATAATTTTTATTACAGAGACATGAGAAACTATATATTGCTAAGTTCATAAAAAATAAAAGTGTACTAAATCAGAGAAATGAATTAGGTATTTTTGCCGTCATTATCATATATTTTACTTAAATAATATTTAAATATAAAATTACAAAAAAAAAAGTGACCTGGTAATATATATACTTATACTTGATATGAAAAAATAATTTTACATATTGTAAGTAATTCTAATAAAATTACTTGTTTTAAAAAGAAATATAGTCTATTAAAAATTAAAAGTGAAAATATTTAAAAATATTTAAAAATTAAAAGTGAAAATATTTTAAATAAAACGTATTCTAACCTAAACATCCCTAAAAAATTTTTTAGGTATACAAATAGAAAAAATGCCGTAAGATATTTGCCGTTAACAATAAATTTATATATAATAAAAAAAAATCCAGACGGCATGCATTTAACGGATGTCAGAATTCGTTGAAAAATACATCCCTACCTAAACGTAACCCTTTTACATTCATTGATGAATTAATTAATTAAATATATATATATATATGTGTGTGTGTGTGTGTGTGAACATTGAAGTCAACACTCGCCTCTGAGTGTTGACTTCAATGTTCACTATTATTTTACATACGCTCTATGTCTGATATTGAGCACTTTATCACATAAATATAGCACACCTTAAAACTATATTTCTTCTTTTATATATATATATATATATATATATATATATATATATATAATATAATCAATACATTTTCATTTTCATTACAGTATACCTACTTTTGCATCCTTACATATATATATATATATATATATATATATATATATATATATATATATATATATATATCGTGACTTGATATATATATATATATATATATATATATATATATATATATATATTAATAAATATATATATATATATATGAAATGAAGTCAAACAATTATTTTAAAGACATTTTATGTTTATACATTCTTTTTATAGATACAAATATTTAAGTAAATACTCTGTTTATAATAAATGTTGTTTAATACTGTTTTATTATAAACAGAGCATTTACTTAAATAATTGTATCTATAAAAGGATCTATAAACATAAAAATGTCTTAATATATATATATATATATATATATATATATATATATATATATACATGAAATCATGAAAATATTCATGCCATTACGGATCTGTATACTTAACCAATTAAATGTTCACAGCTCTCTCTCTCTCTCTCTCTCTCTCTCTCTCTCTCTGAAAAACTAGGAACTGAATACACAGTTGAAAACCGGTTTTCCTTCGGATAATTTTTGCGCCCCACCCCCATTACATTCATTGATGTAAAGACGTTATGCGTTTTGCTCGTGACGACACCAACACACTATTGGCCAAACCTCTTTGTCTTTGGCCTCCGGCTATCATGACAGTCATTCTTCTTCATCCTAACCGCCCGACCCTGAACCCGGAGGAAACTGATTTCTATCAAAGGGATGAATAATAGAAAATGACGTGAAGTGATAGCAATTTTACTATCTGATATGCCGGATGTCACAGAAATACGTACTAATGTACATACCATTACACACACACACACAGGTATTTCTGGATACGTCACCTCGCCTCCAACAGAGAAATCTATATAAAAGGCATCAGTTTCTTGTTAGTCTTTATTGCTGCTTTCAGCACCCCAAAAGTCCTCCTGACGACAGCAATTGCCTAAAATATCCTAATGATGTTATCTTTTCTTTACACAACAACGGTCGCCATTTTGTTGGCACTAAACTACCAGGCTACTGGCTCGAACATTCCACAGATGCCCAGAATTTATGACTACGGCGGCCTGTTCGCTCAAAACAGATGCCTGTTAAAATCCGTCTCTGATGTTACCTGTTATCTAGAGTGGACTGTAAGTGATGGCTGGATTAAGAAAAACTGTCCCTCAGGTACGAAGTTCATTGAAAATGCTTGTCAGTGCTTAGCAGTTCCAGAATTCTATGGCGGGTATTCAGTCCAGAACAACGAAGCGGAAAGCGCGACACCGTCATCAAAACAAATTGATCTTCGACCGGCTGTTTGTCAGCTGAAAGCCACCGAGAACCGTGCTACTTATTTAGAATCGGTTGAAGGGCGTGGTTTCATAACTAGGACCTGTCCCAAAGGAACGGCTTTTAATTCCCAAGAATGCGGCTGCACAACGATTGTATCGGAATCGAGCGATAGCGAAATTGATGACGACGACAGCGACGAGGAAACAAGCCCTGTCGTTGTGAAAGCAACTAAAGTAGCGCCAACCAAAGAGGTCGTTTCGCAAAAGAAGGTTTACAACAGCAATGTCGCCTGTAACAAAAAATCAGCCGAGAAGAACACCTTTTATATGGAACTTGTTCATGGTCACGGATGGTTGACCAGACCCTGTCCAGTGGGTACCGTTTTTAATACTGCTGAATGCGAATGTATAAAAGAATCAGTTGCTGCAAAGAGTACCAGCGAGAGCCCTAAGGCAGGTTCCGCTAACCAGGAGACCGGAAGCCAGCAAGAAACGCCAGGAAGAGTCGAGCAGAAGAAAACGGTTCCGGATGCTGGACGAGTTTGCACGAGGATCACCGATGTTCATAAAGGCTTTTATGTGCAGCTGATTGCGGGAAGAAAGTGGGTTCGCGTTGCCTGTGCCGACGGAACTATTTTCAGCGCGCTGCACTGCCGGTGTATCGAGATTTTCAGAACGACACAGAGGGTGGGCGATTCTAGAAGCTCAGAAGAATCTGACAGCTCAGAAGAAACAGACGGAATAAAAACCACCCCCGAAATCTGCAAGATGAAAGCTGATAATGTAAACAATCGCTATCAAGAACTCGTTGAAGGATATGGCTGGATAAGCCGACCGTGTCCCGAAGGCACTACTTTCAGTGTTAAAGCTTGCCGGTGTACACTCACTGCTCCGGGAATTGGCGTTAAGCCGACGCAACCAGCAGTCCCGACAACGCAACCTAAATCCACAACAACGACTGCTCCCTGCACGCGAAAACCAAGTCACACCAAAACTCTTTACCTCCAGATGGTGTCAGATGGACAGTGGGTTCTTATGAAGTGTGCTAAAGGTACAGTGTATAGTGCGCAAATTTGTGGTTGCGTCTTACCTATTGGTGGGAAAGTTTCGAGTGCCGATAGCGGCGAAGATTCCAGTGTGGACAGCGACGAAGATTCCGGCTTAGATCATTCAAATGTCGATAGCAGCGAAGAAGAGCTCACAGCTGAACCTGAAACCGCGTCTGACAAGGAAATCGTTTGCAATAAAAGACCAGCAGACCAAATCACAAGTTACCAAGAACTCGTTCAAGGTTTCGGTTGGATAACCCGCGACTGCGCCATAGGTACCAGATTCGATCCTACCACCTGTACTTGTTCGACAGCCCATCCCATCAAAATGGGAAGCGGTAGCAAAGTCACCGCCTCTCCTAAAATTAGCACTGCCCAGAAAGAAGAAAAACCGTGCGAATCCGTCAATACATTACCGGTCAAGATCGAAGGAGATCAGATTCCTGTTAAGTCTTTATGTTTGAAAAAGCCCTCTGTGAACCCGCGATTTTATTTGGAGCTATCCGGAAACTCGATGTGGATTAATAGGTTGTGCCCAACAGGTACGGCTTTTGTATCACAGCAATGCCGTTGCTCACCGGTCAGCATTTTCAGCCAAGATATTCAAGGTACAGACTCAAGCGACGAATACGTCGATCAACTTGGACAACGTCCCAGTGACTCGTCTCTCTTTGAAAAGATGCTTGCGAAAAAGATCTTTGAGCAGTCGAACAGTTTCCAACTGAAGGCCACTAACCCGTCTTTTTATCATCATCCATCATTTACAAGATCACCGATGCAGCGTAAGTACGCCACCGTGAAATATCCCAACTATCGAATTTCTTAAGATTTTTATTTTCTTCACGAACATTTAAAATATAATTTGGTGAATATTTTTATTCTTTAAAAAACAAAAAAAATGGTGTGAACGTTTTCAATTTGTTTCGAATTTAAATTTCGGACTATTTTGACGCGAAGAAAATATTTTTACAGATTTTTACAACTATATTCTGTAAACAAACAAATAAATCTTCGGTTTCATTAAAATAACGATTTGTTTCATGCTTAAAAAAATGGTTTACTTAAATCCGGGCGATTTTTATTCCGTGTGGTCTTTAGTCTGTACAGGAATCCCTCGATTAGTGCAGCTAATGTGTACATCGCTAACTGTAAAAAAAAAATCAATTTTCAATTGCTATGGTTAAACTGAAGAATGTTTTACCGCACTAATCGAATACTGTATATACTCTAACTGAATTTTGGTATATAAGAATTTTAATGCACCAATCGAAAACGCATTAATCGAATGCGCATTAATCGAGGGATGTCTGCATTTACATTATTATAAATTTACAGGACATGCTTTCTTTGTATTCGTAGGTTTTTTTTTTAATTTATTTTTATTTTTCACCACCCACAGACAAATTGTCTTGATATGTACAAATTGCACATATGGGAACGACTTAGGACTTCAAAGAGACTTTGATTTATAATGGTCGCTCTAGCAAGAACGGTAAATAGGAATGTGTTGTTTTGGTGTAAGGAATACTATGGTATGTTTGAGGCAGTAATTGTGGTTTAGTTTAAGATAAAACAGATTGAAGACCAGCCTTTCCCTCTCCCCACTTTTGGCCTTGTGTCACATTTTTATATGTAAAAAATAAATATGGCTTTCTTCGTTTCGCTTTCGCTGTGTGGCGTGACGGTTAGCGACAAAGAAAATCGAAAATGACCAGCCAGTTTCGAGTTCTAACAACTTCTGCTAAATAATTTTTTTTACATATACCCTTGACAAAATATGTGCAATTCTCTCAGTCCTTATCTTATCACCAAATTTCAAGTCTCTCATGGTGTAGGCGATTATGGCTCTTCTATTTCTTTGTCTAACTGTAAATTGTCATGACATCTTGGAAAGATAGTGGAACTGCTTCCCGTTGCCTTTTCCACGGCTTGGAATTCAGTGTTTTTCTTCTCATAGGCGGGTTGCCAACCGCTTTTCGATTGTCCGGTCGACCCTGCTATTTAATCCGGAGGTGGTGGGGGGTAGATGGATTCATGCTTTTCTGGCTTGCGACCACATCACATTAAAAACACCGGTTCCCGTACGATCACCGTAGTTAAGCTAAAATCGAACCTGGTCATTACCTAGATGGGTGACCGCCTGTTAATACCAGGTGCTGTAAGGTTGGATGTGCGGGTGGTGTAATGGATAATGGCACGGAATTATTAATCAGAGAGCCGAGTCCCAATTCCAGTTTTGGTTCGTTATTTTCACATGCACAAATCACCTTGTATGAATCCACCTCTTCTCCCTCCAGCTATGGGTTAATTAGTAAGATATATCACCAAACCATTATTACATGCCAAAAAAAAAAAAAATCTTACAATCTGAAAATATATTCTGGCGTCAATTAAGCTGCAAAAGGTTGATAAGCCGTAAAAAACGAATTAATCATGTTTTTCTCAAGAGCATTTGTGCGAAATCGAATGCAACAGGCTATCCCAGAATTCGAATTCTACTCTAGAATTACACTCTCCCCGTCGATAACCGTTACACTACACGTACCTACTTTTATTAGCGGATAATTGGCCTAAATTTCTTAATTTCTTCCTTTAGTACTTTGCTTTGTTCGATAAGCTTAGGCTGTAGAATCATCGATCTTACCCGTTAATCAACCTTGGCTGGGCCGAGTTTAATGAAATAAAAAAAGCTGGCATTATTCGAACTGTTATCCTCATCTTTACTGCGATATTCATAACGTTTCGGCAGTTGTACGCTCCGGTCTTCTTCAGATGACTAGAGTTTCGAACCGAACTCTTTATTTTGTTCACCGGGATAGATTGTTCTAGTTCCACATGCCGTCCCTCTTCCGGATGTCGCAGTTATTTCCCTTTTTATTCGACTGTCCAAGTTTTGGGTTCACCACTGCTGTGGCCTGGTATTGAACTCACAACTCTTTGTGTCTAGTCACTGGATCTAACCAACGTCTTTATCCACTGGGCCATGTGGGCGAAACGTTGTGAATAGAGCAATGAAGATGAGGATAACAGTCCGAATAATATAAATAATGCAAGTAATCATAATACCTCATCTCAGAGATATAGACAGATAAGAAAAACAAAAGCGTCACGATTTTCTCCATGATAAACAGAAACCCCGTTTACGGCCATATCACACTGAAACGCCGGTCCCCGTATGATCACCAAAGTTAAGCAACGTCGAGCCTAGTCAATACCTAGATGGATGACCGTTTGGAAATGTGCGGGTGGTTTAATGGTTAATGGCTCGTAATTGTTAATTAGAGAGCCGTTTTCCAATTCCAGTTGGGTTCGTTATATTCACTTACACGCAAATATCCTTGGGAAAAGTATGAATCAACCCATTCTCCCTCCAGCTATGGGTTAATTTGCAAGATTTATATCACTAAATCATTATCATTGTCCCCCTCTCACACCATAAAAAAATCTTACAATAGAAAATATAACTTTGCTTTAAATAATCTGCAAAGTCTTTATAAACCGTAGAAAACGAATTAGTCAATGAAAACAGGAAATCGTTCTAGTTCGAAGGGGATATTTCGAATCTTATTCTTATCTCTATGTGATGCCTTGTCAATTATTATTATTATTATTATTATTATTATTATGATTGCTGTTGTTGTTGTTGATGATGATGTTTGCATTTGCTTTGTGTAGTTCGAGTTGCCCCCAAGTCTCAACTAGAGATTTCAAGAGACAACAAGTTTTTGGTGTCAGAAGATGCAAACAGATGAGGGGCCATGCAATCAGAGAGAGAGAGAGAGAGAGAGAGAGGAAAAAAATCTGTGCAATATATGTGAAGAAATCATGAATGTGATTTTTTGCAATTCATATATTTTATGCCGATCAGGAATTTGTCCCGCATATTTCATACACAAAAAAGCCCAACAACAACAACAAATAATGTTTTTCTCTTCAGATTCCACATTCTACCGATTTCTATCTCGAGATCCTTGTATTTACTTAGTTTCTCAAACATTTTGAAAGACGTGTTTTTGCAGGCATGTATTTTCAACACTATTTACAGTATTCGGACTATTGTCCTCATCTTTGTCGCTATATTTATCACGTTTCGTCCTTTCAGTATCTGTCTATATTTCTGAGATGAGGTATTATGTTCACTATTTACATTATTCGGACTATTGTCCTCATCTTTGTCGCCATATTTATTACAACCTTTCGGCCTTTCAGTATCTGTTTCTGTTTCTGAGATGAGGTATTATGTACACTATTTACATTATTCGGACTATTGTCCTCATCTTTGTGGCCATATTTATTACAACCTTTCGGCCTTTCAGTTTCTGTCTATATTTCTGAGATGAGATATTATGTACACTATTTACATTATTCCGACTATTGTCCTCATCTTTGTCGACATATTTATCACAACGTTTCGTCCTTTCAGTATCTGTCTATATTTCTGAGATGAGGTATTATGTACACTATTTGCATTATTCGGACTATTGTCCTCATCTTTGTGGCCATATTTATCACAACGTTTCGTCCTTTCCGTATCTGTCTATATATTTGAGATGAGGTATTATTTACATTAGTTACATTATTCGGACTATTGTCCTCATCTTTGTCGACATATTTATTACAACGTTTCGGCCTTTCAGTATCTGTCTATATTTCTGAGATGAGGTATTATGCACACTGTTTACATTATTCGGACTATTGTCCTCATCTTTGTCACCATATTTATCACAACGTTTCGTCCTTTCAGTGTCTGTCTATATTTCTGAGAAGAGGTATTATGTACACTATTTAAATTATTCGGACTATTGTCCTCATCTTTGTCGTCATATCTATTACAACGTTTCGGCCGTTGTAAGCTCCAGCCTTCTTCAGGTGGTTGGAATGTCAAACTGAACCCTTTATTTCATTCACTGGGGTAGACTGTTCTAGTTCCACGCGCCATGTTTAATGGATGTCAGTTATGAGTTATCTCCTCTTCTCCACTGCCTTAACCGGGTATAAATATGGCGACAAAGATGAGGACAATAGTCCGAATAATGTAAATAGTGTACATAATACCTCATCTCAGAAATATAGACAGATGTATTTTCAACATGATTTTTTCATAATTATGTCTAGTCGATTTACCTGGATTTCCTTCTCAGTCTGAATGCTGAAATTCCGGATGAATTATTATTATTATTATTTAAAAAAAAACAACAAAATGAACGACGCCACTCTTCCAGTATTTTGCAACACTTAGAGAAAAGCGCGCATTAAGACAAGAAAAACATCTTGTTTAACAATGTTTCAACATTACGATTTTTGCAAATGGTGGCAATTGTACTGATTCCTATTTGATATACGCCGTCCAATGTACTAAACATTTGATTTATATAGTTTGCACAACAGACAAATTAAAGAAAAGATTTAATAGTCACAGGTATGATGACAACAATGTCACATTAACTGAACTAGCAGAACATTTTAACACAAACGACTGTAATTTCGACGAACATCTTAAGGTGCACATTGATTCCACTGCAACCCACAAAACGCATAAAGGTAATTCCATATGACAACTACTAACGTCCCACACAATGAGAAATGAAACAAATAGACAGGAGACTTCCATACGATTTATATTAAACTATTTGTTTAATTGCTTTTACTAACTAATCAAATAGCGGAAAATTTCAAGATAAACATGACCGCCATAATGTTACATTTTAGTTACATGCCATTCACGCTGGCATTTTGTCGCGTTGATTTCGTGACAGGCGGCATTTTTCTCAGGACAAGCGGTGTTTGTAGAAAAACCCATATGTTTTTTATTATTGTATACAGTTTTTAAACATAACTTGAAGCAGACAGAGATACTGTCGAAATATCGTTAAACATTGCTAAACATTGTTAAACACAATCTTTTCTTAAATCGGGCACTTCTTCACTAAATATTGTTAAAAAAGTTTTCCTTTGATTTCTGTTGTATACACATTTCCTTCCGGGTCCCAATCAGTAACCTAACGTTAGAAATGGCTTCAAGACATTTTACACTGACCATTTTTATAATAATATAAAAAAAAAATCTGAGATCAGAGACATTTTACATAGATAAAACCTTTCGTAATGTGTGAGCTGTACTTGTCAGTATATTTTTTTCAGGATTTTCAATTTGCTATTCTCCACAACTTCCTTCTCATTTTTTTTTTATTATCATTATTATTATTGTTTTTTCTTCTTCTTCTTCATTTGAACTGGCATTTTCTATAATCTTTATTTTTAGCCATTGTTTCGCATTTTCCCTGGTCCGTCAGGGATATGACTAGCTGAGAGAGTTTGTTTACCTATCGCTTGTACGTAGTGAGTACATTAATCGCAAGGCGTTCCATACTTGCGACCTTGTTCTAAAACTGCGACCATTTTTATAATAATATAAAAAAAATCTGAGATCAGACATTTTACATAGATAAAACCTTTTGTAATGTGTGAGCTGTACTTGTCAGTATATTTTTTTATGTGGGCCACCAAGAATCCTTTCAATGAGTCTATCGAAATCTAATCCAATGAGTCCGATGGCTCCAACTACAACTGAATTATTATTATTATTATTATTATTATTATTATTATTATTAATACTACTACTACTACTACTATTATCATTATTATTATTCCACTTCTGTACACTATACGGTGTTGGTTACTGCTAAGAAATTTATTTTCAAATTAACTCTTGTAACTTAAGAAAATAATTCAATCATTCGTTCGTTTTGTCGACAGGCTGTGTCCACTACTAAGGTCAGAAATGACGTCATCACATTTTATGAAAAAATAGAATAAAACAAGCGAAGAACACACTCGTTTTACATAGAGAACTCCTTCGTAAGTTGTTTCTTTGTTGTACAACAGCCGAGTGCTCTAATGATCACTGGTACTGTAATTATTTTCTTTGCTTGTCCTTCACAAACACTCGGAATGTCATACTTTAAATCATTGTAGTTGACGATTTTCTTTTCATTGCTTTTAATTCTCATGTCAAACGGACAGGAGACTTCTGTCAGATCCTAAATCATTTTCTGTTTGTCCAATAAGACTAAATCTGGTTTAAAGTCATATAAATTTGTCACTGTCTACATTGGAATATCCTGCAGGATTTTCAATTTGCTATTCTCCACAACTTCCTTCTCATTTTTTTTTATTATCATTATTATTATTGTTTTTTTTTGTTTTTTTTTTTTTTCTTCTTCTTCTTCTTCTTCTTCTTCTTCTTCTTCTTCTTCTTCATTTGAACTGGCATTTTCTATAATCTTTATTTTTAGCCGTTGTTTCGCATTTTCCCTGGTCCGTCAGGGATATGACTAGCTGAGAGAGTTTGTTTACCTATCGCTTGTACGTAGTAAGTTCATTAATCGCAAGGCGTTCCATACTTGCGACCTTGTTCTAAAACTGCGCCATGTCTAGCATCTGACAGCTTTCTCGATCTTGCGTGTTGTTTTCCGTCTAAATGCATGTGGGTAAAAATGGGTTTAAAAGAATGAAGCCTCTTTCAAAAGTGTAACAAATTCAAAATTTCGTTGTTAACACCTCAAAATCAGATTTTTCCGACTTCTCTCGATGCCATATTTCCGATCTCTCCCGACGCCATATTTCTGATTTCTTCCGACGCTATATTTCCGAGTTCTGTCGACACCATATTTCCGACTTCTCCCGACGCCATATTTCCGATCTCTCCCGAAACCATATTTCCGATCTCATCCGACGCCATATTTCCGACTTCTCCCGACACCATATTTCCGATCTCTTCCGACGCCATATTTTCGACTCCTCCCGACGCCATATTTCCGACTTATCCCGACGCCATATTTCCGACTTATCCCGACGCCATATTTCCGAGTTCTCCCGATGTCATATTTCCAAACTCTCTTGTTAGGGTATGGTTATAAGAATCGTAAAAATCCTTGTCAGTTCAATGGTCAACAAATTATTGAGAATGTCCTTTATGTTCGATTTCGTATGGATTTGGCACTTGTACATTTGGCCGACGGTCATTGAACCGAATGGACATTTAGCCGAAAATGTAGTGGCGTACTTACATGGATGTCACACTCTTTATCGTAATGTGCAAGATATATTAATATTTATGTAGTGTATTAATTTATAATATTTAGGTATTTTTTGACAGGCATTTTAAAAAAAATCTATTCTGTATACATTATAGTAGCAGTAGCGTTGCCCGGGGATGTAACAGTAAGAGATAGATCAAGTATCGAC